ATTTCCAACAATTTAACAAATCAATATTTTAATAAATGAAACATACTGAATACGTAACCATTAGCCAATCATTTTCAGTAATTGATGTATATTTTGATATTTATATTTCGCGTTTTGTATGCTACATTGCAAATTTCTACAGGTACCCAACAACGCAGCCAGTAGCCTTGAGTACAAATTACGATATGGGCGCTCTTTGTGCAATTGTTTTAGTTTTTGGCTTTTTTGCGGTGTGTCAGTCTACCATAAGGTTGAGGAAATATATTGCAAAACCTGAAATGGATGATTATAAATCAGATGACGAACTTGTAGGAGAACACAAATCTACATCAGTTAGAGAGTGTGCAGCGCGCTGTCAAACAGAGTGTAGTTTCTATGGGTTTAATCCCCAGATGAAGAAATGTCGTACCCACAAGAAGATTTTCAAGTCGGGAATGTCTAATGAGGGTGGCTGGAGATACTACACACCTGACTGTATGTTTATATGTCATTTTTCTTTATTACATTTTCCATAAATCAGATAAATATTATGAATTTTCATCGCTCAATAGTATTAATTAATTCTAAGTAATAGTTTTGTCTTATTATTTCTAATAACTTCAATTTTGGTAATAAGAATATGCTTCACAAAATCCACATTGCAGTTCTCATCTTAGCTTTAATTAACAGATAAACTTACTTCTTCTTTCAGGTATTATGTATCATCTGACTTAATTCTGATAGTTAACTAACTTAGCTTTAATTAACAGATAACAGTAATTAGAAATATGATGCATTTATTTTATATCATATGATGTATCTTCTTGTATATACAAAGAATGATACAAGTATTATTTCTGTTAGTTATTTCTGTATCTTGTATATACATAGTCTGATTCCATTATTATTTTTATTGGTTATTACTGTACATTGCATATACTGTACATAGTATGATATCAGTATTATTCTTATTAGTTATTTCTTTGGATATATAAACTATTTCTGTAGATTGTAAGTTTTTTTTTTCTGCTTTAGATATACTCAGAGACTGTAAGGATATACAGACAGATGGATACTTTAATACAGGGGTGTATGAAATCTATCCCTATGGAACCAGTACAAGGCCTGTCACTGTTTTCTGTGACATGACGACAATGGGCGGGGGATGGACGGTAGGTTGTTAATTTTAATATAAAGACATATTGTAGAATTCATATTCACACTTAATGTTTTTGTTGTTCAACAGAATATAAGATGAAGAAATATGAATATTTTTTGTTTATATCATAACATATTGCTCACACAACCGTTTAAAACAATACTATACGTGTTAACTTTAAAGGCAATCCAAAAACGAATTACTGGATCCCTGGACTTTGACAGGAACTGGACAGTATAAAAAAGGATTTGGTTCACCGGAACAGGATGTCTGGGTTGGTAAGTGTAAATTACATTAAAAAAGGAAAAGGACTATCATCCAATTCAGAGTTTGGCAAAATTTCTTTGTTGTGGAAATAAAAAAAAAGTTATCAAAACTCTGATCTGTAGAGTATGTAAAACGTGTTTTACGATATTTTTTGAGCGTGTTTAATTAATATCTTAAATAATAAGAAAAAGGGAATCATTTAGTGGTGTAGTCTTAATGTGTCCAAATTTAGCATCAATGTCTACAAGATTAGAAAAATGATTTGATGTTTTATTACGGTATATTTATATTCTAAAATATTGATACAGGAAATGACATAATCCATCAATTTACAAAAGAAGAGACCGCTTCCCTTTATGTGTCCATTACTCTTGGGAATGGGACAACTCTGTATGAAATGTACGGCGGATTCTCTGTCTCCGATGAAGCAGGGAAATACAAACTCTTTCTTGCAGGACCTGCCACGGGAACCTTAGGTAAATTTATCCATGTTCTTAAAATGTGGTTCAAATCATATAAACCATCATATACTGTAGTTCTTTACATTGAAAATTTTTTAAGGATTTCCATCCCTAATAGGAATAAATTCTCTACCCTTAAATATCTGTCAGATACATAATACTCTGATATTAAATTAAAGCATTTTATAGTAGAAAAGGATTGCCCGCGAGAAAGTTTTAAAAATTTAATTAATTAAGCAGTAGCTAATTAACTCAGATTACATTGTAGTCTGTAGGAAAAATTGTATTTTTTCAATAAAAAAATAAATAATAGGAAGATCAATAAAATTTAATACTGTTGGCGGAAAGATGCATTGGAATATTGAAAATAGAATGATTATTGAATTGATAAATTTTTTACCGGATAAGATTTTTAAAATTGATTTTTTTATTAATTAAAAAAATGGAGGTAGATAACTCTTAATAAAATTTAAGGTCATAAAAAAGGACACATCCTAATCTTACAAGCTAATAGTAATAAATGTGAATAATGCCTAAATAAAAAAAAGTATTCATCATCTGCATATCTGTTATGTACTTAATATCATTGAATTTGTTGCTATTAGGGATTGAATACCTTAAGTTAAAAAGACATAAAATCAGTCTGTAAACGTTTTTAATTTTATGCTATTTAATCGTATTTAAGATTTAACTCCTGGAAAATAGAATCTGTCAATTCTCAGTACATGAAATTTTAAATGACATATTTTTAAACAAAGAAAACTATGATAAAAATATTAATATTTAACCTTTCCAGTAACTAGTTGTACCTCTTATCTGTCATTGCTGTTAAGTATTATAGCATTGATCGTAAATTTCACGGAAAATTGATAATTAAATCATTGCCTGATCGGAAACATTCAAATTATAAAAAAAAACAATTTCAAAACACCTCATCTTGAATTACATTTACAATACCTATTTACTATTCAATGAAAATATAATATTTTAAAATATTGCAGGTATATCATTTGTTAGTTGGTTAATGGTTATCATTTTGGATGATATGCTTCTTTTAGCATTTTATGCATTTGAAAGGCACTTACTTTAACAAATATAAATGCATGTATTTCATTTTCTCATTACAAAAATTCCCCGTGATTTTTACCACAATAATTTTTTTATTATTATTAATCTTGAAATGTGTAACACGCCTGGGGTATATTGCTTCATTTAAATGATGGTATGTGAATCGCACAGGGTATGTTTGTATTGGATTCTTCTAATATTATCTCTCTTTACACAAGAAAGCACATTAATACCGCTCTGGGACTTTCCTCCGTATAATTTACAATAAGATTAATGTAAAATGAATCAATTTTGTCAGTGATATAATCTAATTCACCCTAAACCAACAGTGTCAGAACTATTGGCACCGATTCTTAAAAAAGTAATGTCTCTCATTATCTACTGATTTTTCCAACGACCCGGCCATTGGTAATACATCCATTTCCCCCCAAAAAAGAACCACAACCCATTTGACTTGACCCTGCACTATCAGTTTATAATGAAGAACTCTATAGTTTGTCTATTCCTTTTGTGGAAAATAAGCTATGCCATTGAAATTATGAAAAAAAAAAACTTAGCCACTTTGTCATTTATTGTTTTCGTTCGTCAAGAATGCGGATCTCATGCTCTGGATTTGAGATGCCTAAAGTTTCCCAACTAAGGATTCTAAACTGCGAACCCTAACCCTTTTTCTGTCAAGAAGTGTTTCTAATAAACCTTTCAGTTCTGTAATCTTTTCAGTAGGAATTCTTATGCACATCTGAACTGTATCTATTTCTTTTCCTAACACGAGGCCCATGGGTGACTTCGATCACCTGAGCACATGTGAAAATACACAAGTCAGCTCAGCATTGAAAAGTTCACTTGTTGGAGGAGGGGGAGGGGGGTTGGAATTTTCTATTACTCGAGAATGTCACCATTTCAATGAAACATACAATTATAATTCTGTCATACTTAAAAACAAGATTTTTAAAGATTTCTCTAACATATTATTTGATCTGCCATTGTGACCCCTCATTCCCCCCGTCCTTTTCCAGTTCAACATTATTTGAATGAATTCAATTTTTCACTACTTGCAGATGCTTACATGTCAAATTGACTAAATAAAACTTTTCCGTTCCGGTGAAGATTTTCCCTCTTTATTCTTCCTATATATTTTTATGCAAAAATTTGATTCTTCATTGGGACCACACCCTAATCCCAATGGTCATTATATAAACAATTCCTGAATATAAACCACCCGAGGATTCTTCCATTAGTTCCAAATACTAATCATGGAAATAATGTTCTCCAGAAAACATTTAAAAGTATATATTCCTATGAAAATTTGATCCTACACTGAGTCCCCACCCCACCCCTTGAGTTCTTATTTGAACAATCTAAAAACTACACTACCTCAGGATGCTTCCATATGAATATCACCAATTATGCCATGGCTTTGCTGTTCTTGAAAAGATTTTTAGATTTTTTCCTAAATATGTCTATGTAAAACTTTGATTGTCCATTATGGCCCCACCCTAACCACAGGAGTCATGATATAAACAAACTTGAATAACCTACAACTTAGGATGTTCCTATATCTATATCACTAATCATGGCTTTGCTGATCTTGAGAAGAAGATTTTTGAAGATTTTTCCTATATATTCTTCTGAAAAAATTTGATCAACCATTGTAGCCCCGCCCTACCCCGGGAGTCATTATTTGTACAAACTTGAATCTACACTACCTGAGGATGCTTCCACAAGAGTTTCATCTTTCCTGGCCGAGTGGTTCTGGGGAAGAAGATTTTTTTTTAAAATGGTTTTATATATTCCTATGTTATACTTTAATCAGCCTTTGTGGCCCCGCCCTACCACTGGGGGTCATGAAAAAAAAATCATATGGAATAATTTATCACAAAATATCAAAATGAAGAAAAGTAATTAAAAACATCTAGCTGAATATCTTATGTACAAGTGTATAGGTACCCTTATATATCTGGGAGAAAACACCTCCAGCTCAAATACAGTCTATCTATTGTCTCCCAGATAAGCTTTGTAGAACAACATGCTTATTCTGCAATGGCTTTATGAATTATAATTCATCTTTAATACATTTTAAAACATTACGATAATCTTATGGTGAATTTTCTTATATACTTCAGAAAAAAAGATTAAATATACTCTTGATATGATAACGTATTTCTTGAGGTTTTCTTATTTGTTTTCTAGTCTACAGTACATTTTGTATTTGTAAATTTTACATGCAGTCAGGGATATTATGCTATTCAAAAATAATATCTTTTCATTTTTTTCATTATAAAATCCATAATAATATTTTTCCATGATATATCAAATTTCAAAACTTGCTGAAACGCACCCCATATATCAGAAACATTTTGACATTTTAGAATAAGATGTTTATTGTTTTCTTTTACATTTCTACAAAAAACACACATTTCATTTTCAGCAGTTTTCCATTTCTTTAACATTTCTCTATTACACAATAAGTTATTTAATAATCTATAATTGAAGTCTGATATGCCTCTATCTGCAATTGCTAATATTTTTTGTTCATATATAGATTTCCATGCTGTTTTTGGAATTTCAAACAATTTCTCATAATGATATAGATGTAGTGGATGTTTGAATTTATCATGACATAGAATATTATAAATCAATTTTGAAGTAATATCAAACACTGTCACTTGATGATGGTATAGTAGATCATATGAATTATTTTCGAATATGATGTTTTCATAACGTATATCTGTAAAATCATCATCTACTAAAGCTTTCAAAACTACATTTTTCATTATCATATATTCACAAATACAATTTCTCTTACATACAAGTTTATCATAAAACCATTCTATCGGTTGCATACCATTTTTGTCCACAATATCACCAATATATTTAAATCCAATTTTCAGCCAATTTACAAAACATAGTGGCTTTTTTATTTTTAATTTTATCATCACACCACAGTGGTTCCTTTAATAAAGCATTCAAATTTTGTTCTCTTTTGCTTCTTTTACATTCATTAAAAATGCGAGCATTTCTTCGTAAAACAAATGAAAGTTTTACATAATTCGATAAACTTTTGTTTCAATAATGTTTGTTTTACATATATATTTCTTTCTCTAGACAAATTATCAACAAATAGGAATAAGGAATTTGTTTTACTTAATATGTTTTTAATCCACGATACTTTTATTGATTTTAGTTTTAAAGGTACATCAACAATACCTATTCCTCCAATCTGAGTGTTTCTGTTTATTAGGTCTTTTAATTCCATACAAAATTGAAAATTAGACTTTGTATTTTTTCTACTGTATTTTCATTTAGAAAATTTAAAATTGATCCAATATATATAATTTTTTTATATTTCTAGACTATTAATTACAAAGACTTTGTAAAAAATTGTTAATTTTCATTTTTTTCATAGACTCATAAAGTAGTCTACAATTTTTGTCCAGTTTTTATTGTAACATATTTCCTTATCATGTCCTATGATGATCCCTAGAGCTTTTATACAGGAATTATCAACGTCAACATTTTCTATTTGCCGATACAAATTTTTCCATTGACCTGTTAAGAGACACTCTGTTTTGGATATGTTTAGTTTCATACCAAATACCTTACTGAATTTTTCTATAACCTCTAAAGAATGTTTAAGGGACTTCTTATCTTTAAATGGAAGTGTGCAGTCATCTGCATGTTGTATTATCTTTATAATATCAGTCATTCCAGGTTTTTGAAAACCCTTTATGTTAGGATTTGATCTAATAGCAATGGCTAATACTTCTACTACAAATAGGAATAAAATAGCAGAAATAGGTCACCCTTGTCTTATACCTCTATGCATATCACATGTTTGAGATATTTACCATTATCTTTATTCTAAATATAGGCTATTCATATAAAATGGTGATCCATTTCAAGAAATTTTCTCCAAAATTATATTTTTTAAGAACTTTCAATATAATATTCCATTCTACAGAGTCGACAACCTTTTGGAAATCAAGGAATAACAATACTGAATCCGAGTTATTTTCGTCCGAATATTAAAAAATATCAACATTCAATCTTGCATTTTAGGCTATATCGCGCCTTTTTATATATGTTGATTGATTTACATGTATTGCATAATTTACCACTGTTAATTGACAATACGTCGTCGATATATCAAAATGTCGAGTTAAAGACCACAACAAGTGTTTTCTTCTTTTCACGCATAAGATTTTGCACAAATTCTGCACATTATGAATACAAAATTATGTCTGGTATTAACGGAGCGCAATCTGAACTCATTTTTGATATCGACCTTGCCTAGTTCAGCACCCTGACCTAACTCCGAATAATATCAACCAGAGAATAAAAAGAGGCGTATTAAACTAAACAAATCTGGATCTATAAATGCATTGATGCCAAGGGAAGGAACGTAAGACAGATGTGTTATCATCCTCAAACTTCCACATGACTTTGGCACTAAACCTACCGGCGAGATGTGTAGATTAGGCATGGAGGGGAGGGGGTTAGAAAATGGACCCAAAACTTTGCCCTCTTTGATTTCCTTTGTTATTTTTCTCTTCTAATTGAACATTGTGTTGATGAGCTGACACTAGATTATTTTAAAAAATACCTATTCTTGGCCCAAAACTAGATCCATTTGATAACCCATCCAGTACCTCCTTAGCTGCTTGTCTTACTGGGTATTTATGCAAATAAATGGATATCCCATCAACCCTAATTGGAGAATGACCTAGGTTCCAAATTCCGATGCCCTTGGAATTGCTTATATCTTGTGAAGGTGGAGGGTGCTCGTGGTCCCCATTGTCTAGCCCGTTGAAGGAATCCTTATCCCGATGGGTGAAGCTGTCGCTGGCTGAAATATCATACGTTCCGTTGAAGATAAGAAGGACAATTCAACAATGAGTGCTCCCGCCAACATTTCAAACATTCCTGCAAATATGAAATTGGACTTTTAATGTAAAATCCCTGAAAATTAAAAGCATACCTTTTTTCTCCAAACTTAAATGTATTTAGCATAAATAGAGAGAAATTAAGGAAAAATAAAGACAATAAGCATCAGACACTTTCATCACCAACCTTTTTGCCTCGCTGGTTCATGGAAAAGGGAAGATAAATCCAGAAAACAGATGTAACTAAAATGTTGACATATTTTGACAAATAACAAATTTCTGGATTTCTGATATAAGTGATCGATACTAATAATAAATTTATATTTAACTGTACAGGGTGTATCTTTGATAACAAGGCATATTACCAGACAAGTTAAAATCGCAAGTGAGTTAAGGCTAAATATGGATATTTTTATGCAAATAAGCTAATGAAAATTCATAATTTGTATATTTTATGTACAGGGAAGGTTCAAATTGATTTTCTGATACATACTCATTACCCACAGTTTATGAATGCAAGTGAACATTATGACGTCATATTATGACGTCATTGTTCTCTCCCATTCAAGGTATCAAATCATATAAACAAAATCACGTCGGCGCAAGGGCCTATCCTATCTAATTTAAAATAAACAATGTATAATATTAAGGTGAATATTCTTAAAATTAATAAAATTGCTGCACAAATCCTATGCACTTTCTTAATTGATAGAAATTTTAGGAAACTTACCCTGGACGGTGAATTTTTACCCTGTTAAAACTTAAAACTGCACGAATAGTAAGTAACCAATTGCACTGTCGACATTTGTGCAGCAATATCTTAAATCCTTGGAATATCCTGCGTCTTTTGATACCTTGTTTCTGTAAAACAAAGTAAGGTATGCCCTTGCGCCGAAGCGATTTTGTTGATGTTTCTTATAAACTTGTGTAGTACAGGTGGATGACGTCATAATATGACGTCATAATGTGTACTGGCTATCGCATGTCTTGGGTACCAAGAATGTATAAGAAAACAAGTCTTAGCATTTTCTGTGCGGTAGGTAGAGCAATTATGGAATTTAATTAGATATTTTGTATAGAAATTTCCATATGTAGCATTAACTCACATGCGATGCGGTGGTATTCTAATTCTGCAGAAGACAACCTGAGAAGTTGTGTTCTGTCTTAGATGCATATCCGTGTTATTGACAATAAATCAAGTGTGTTTTAAATCCATTATGTCTGTTAATATTTCTCTACTTCTACAGGTGACAGTATGCTCAATACCGGCTATGCTGGGGCCGATCTGTCCGGGATGTACTTTAGTACCCCAGAGAGAGATAACGACGGGTCCAGTAAAAACTGTGCTGCTCTCAGTAACCATAGAGGAGGCTGGTGGTTTAACAACTGTAACTGGGCCTTCCTCAACGGTCAGTTGTATCCAACAATCTCCTACTGTAAATGGTGTTATACATTAGAGATTGGGGCATCGATAAGGGAGACAATGATGATGATAAGACGTCACTAGGTAAACAACTTAAATACTACCAAATGCTGACTTTTTGGTATTTCATTATATATATTTAATGGTTTAATGAGAATTTTGATGAGCAATAAAAAGTTCACTTTGATGTCTCTGAAAATATTTAAATATTTTTGATTCTTGTTTCTTTTATTTTCAACAGATGGATGCCTTAAAATCGAAATCATCGATCAGAAAAAAAGAGACAATTTTTAGTCAATCTTAATCATGAGGTTTCATTTACATGTTTTTATGCGCCAGGATCGATAGATCCGAGGCGTATATTACTTTTGTTCTGTCTGTTTGTCTGTTTATTTGTTTGTCTGTCTGTTGTCAACATTCACCTTCAGCATAACTTTTGAACCTTGATAGACAGAGATTTCATGTTTGGTATGCATAATTCACTAATAAAGTTCTTTCAAAAGACACAAAGATCAATGACCTTGTGACCTTAAATGTTTACTATATGCTAAAACAGCTTTTTCGAACTTTCTGCATAACCTTTGAACCATAGGAGATACAGACTTCATTTTTGTATGCATACTTCACTTATAAAGTTCTTTCAAATGACACCAAGGTCAATGACCGTGTCACCTTGACTGTGACCTATATGCTAAAAATAGCTTTTTCGAACTTTTGCCATAACATTCAAACCATAGTAAATAGAGACTTTATATTTAGTATGTATACTCCACTAATAAAGTTTTTTCAATTGACACCAAGGACAATGACCTAGTGATCTTGACTGTGACCTTTATGCTAAAATAACTTTTTCGAACTTTCGCCATAACGTTTGAACCACAGGGGATACAAACTTCAGTTTCCGTATGCATACTTCACTAGTAAAGTTCTTTCAAATGACACCAAGGTCAATGACCTTGTTGACCTTGACTGTAAACTACATGCTAAAAATAGCTTTTCCGAACTTTCACCATAACTTTTGAACCATAGGAGATAAAAACTTTATATTTGGTATGCATACTCCACTAATAAAGTTCTTTCAAATGACTTTAAGACCAATGACATTGTGACCAATATACTAAAAATAAATTTTGGAACTGTGTTGCCGTCGGGCGCATAGTGTTTCACAAACATTTCTTGTTTTCAGTGAAATAATGTTTACTTCATGAAGAGAACACGCGTAAAACAATTATATTTGAGGGTGTGTGGTAGAACTGTTTGTAAAGCAATGTTATTTTTCTTTACCGAATGTTCTAATCAAGAGCTGAACCTAAAGTTTTTGTGTTGTAATAAATTGGTAAAATGTTAAGATGTTTTTGTTCTTACTTAAAACGCTGCCACATGAATACCATGGAGTCTCCATTTGAAATTTTCGAGAGGGACGTTAAACAATATACAATCAATCAACAATCATGAAGATGCTTGTACGGAAAATAGGGATATGGACTGATCTATTGTAGATCATTTTATAGTGGAAACTGTCTTATCAGACAAATGTACAATCCGTTCCCTTTGAATTCAGACATTTATTTTCATTCTCATTTCTCCTAATATTCATGTTCTTTAAAATATGCAATTCGAAATCATCTTTTAAAAACAAAGTTTGTCTTGGAATACATGTCTTAAGAGACAGGTGTTACATTATTAAACATATTCATGTGATATAATTAGGATCACTTGATGTGCATGCTCTGCAGTACATTATATCCAAGATTGCTATTTTTCTAAAGAAATACTCCCTATCTTTTGCCTTGTGCGATATTTTCAAAGGATGATTGATTGCATATTGTTTTACGTCCCATTCGAGAATTTTTTAATTAATGTAGAGATGCCACAATAAGGCTTCAAATTCTTACCCTTACCCGGCACCAGGGCTATTGAGCAGGGAGGTATCTGTATTGTGCCAACGCCTTCGTGACGCTGAACCTTGGTTTTAAAGGTGTCATCCAAAGAACCAGCAACTTGCACTTAAAAGTGCCGAGTGCATGGCAAAGGAACATTTGCTACCCATTTTTATAGATAAAGGTCAGTCCAATCTTCCCAAGTGAAGAGTTTCTGATCCGCTCCGCTCCACATAAACCCTTGACGGAATTGGCTAAGTTTGACGGGGTTAACTGTCACGCCATCTAGTGAGATTACACATTTTGAACTCTACTGACCTCTGCTATTAGCCAATCGGAGTACTCGAATTCAACAGAGAATTCGAGATAATATTGGTATTCGGTAATAAATTCAATATAACACAGCTAAAAAAAACTAAGACAACCCTGTAACTGGGCTATTTAATGATAAAGACGTTATCCTTGGGACTAAAACTGGCGTGTTTTTGTGTTTACGATTTAGTTTCAGTTTAAATAAAACAATGATTTTGATTGGTTCATGCAAACTTGCATGAGGCCGATCAGAGGAAGCATTTCTAATCCCTTCAAACTTAGCCTATTCGGTCAAGGGTTTATGTGGAGCGGAGAGGATTAGAAACTCTTGACTTGGGAAGATGGGTCAGTTCCAACCGAAATTCGATCTCCAGATCACGAAACCAGCATCAAGGGATAAAAAATATAATTATGATATAAATTTACAAAGCAATTTTTTCTACGATGAATTTTTTTTTTCATTTTAATTCTGTGAAAAAAATAAAGCTTTCATGATTGACATAAATTGTATTTCTTATTGCAATTAGTACAAAATTATTTTTTATCATTAATATATTGATATCAGTTTTTCAAGAGTTGTCATTCCTACGCTCCCACACACCTCTGTCAACCTTTGTATACAAAATTCTTAAAAAAGTAAATGCTGATTAATTGAATCAAGAAGAGCTTTAAATAATAATATTTTTTAGTAAAACAAACTTATTTTTAATAAACCGTCTCCTATACACCCTTCCCGAATTTTTAATTTTAACTTAGCATAACCAGGAAATAAATTGTTTTAAAGGATGATAGTTTTAAAATAAATAATAAAATTTCATCTTTATTTAGTCAAATTAATTATGATTCGAACTTTAAATATCACTTATTAACACTTTTACAAGGTCTTGTACAACAAGTGCTAAAAAAGGTGTTTGAAGCGCCCTTGAAGATAGCCCCGGAGAGGGATTTGCTATTTTGATAGGGCTTAACATTTTAAATATCATTGAAAAGTAATAATAACAGGTTTGTGTAACTTACAGGTCTTACTTATGTTTTGGGGTGTGTGATATACAGTAAAACGTAAACTAATCGCGTTTCCTGAATATTAATATTATTTATTTATTGCATGATAGTGGCGGAAATATGAAGATTCCATGACAACAACAAATACATGTAATAGATTATTTTAAAATTACGGATCGAGTGCATTGAAATAGAAGTAGAAACAAACCCAAATCATGTGAGACAATAGACCATGTACATGTATGTAAGAAGTCCATGCATAATTATTTACTTATTTTCTTCTCAACTTAATGTATGCTGTATTTTATTACTAAGTATGTAATAAACATATTAATACACACCCTTCAGCCCTCTGGCTGATATTGGTGTCTCGGGCTGATACAGGATGTGATATGGAAAAGGGTATGCAAATATTCTCTGTTTATACAAAATATGCTATAATAACGGGAAAACGGGAACTTAATTATGTCATATTTCTAAATTAATAACAATTTGATCAAATTGAAAAATGCCAGCTAAGGTCACATGTATAGTTGTGCAAATGAGAACTATATATAAAGTAAAACAAAGATATTCAATTTAAGGGGTCATTTGAGACACATAATCATTAATTGAGGCAAAACGATTTCAGATAATTTTATTTTCATTCCTTAGAACATCTTGCTATTGTCCTAACAGATAAAGCATGTTCAATTCAAGAGAATAATAAGAGAGAGAGAGAGAGAGAGAGAGAGAGAGAGAGAGAGAGAGAGAGAGAGAGAGAGAGAGAGAGAGAGAGAGAGAGAGAGAGAGAGAGAGAGAGGTAAGAGCAAGAGCCACTTTGGGCCTTATTTGGCCCTGAGAATTTCTAAAAAATTAAAACCAGTAAGTCTTGGTTGCAAATGCAGTATTTATCACTTGGAGTGTTGGTGACCACGTATCTATTAATCGTGACGTAATTTCCCATCTAGTCAATGCATTATAAAATGCGTCATTTTCCTCATATCCTGTAAATTCCTTTGAACATGACCTATGGTTGAAGTATTTTTTAAATATTCCATGTAGAGCACAACCTCTGATCCAAAAGATGCAAATACATAATGAAAGCTCTGTTTCTGGAGATAAAAAAACATGTTTTATTTTTTGGATCGTGGGCTGTGCTAATATTTTAATTCTTTGTTGAAGGTAGTCAAAAACGCATTTTTTCTGCAAAGGTTGATTCTCTATAAGGCCATTTTCCGGCCTACGATAAAATCACTGTAAAATATGATTTTATATAATTGTAATCATTCTACTTCTTGATTTTGATGTTTGTTTTTCAGCACCGATCAACTAAGTCACGTGATTAAGATATAAAAAACGACCGTCAGTTAAAGAAAAATTGAGGGTAGGTCTATTCAGATAAAGTTTCTATGCATGTTTCTGAACGTAATTGATCAGAAATTGTTTATCTATGTCGGAAACATATCAGACCTAAGTAATAAATTCGAGGATTTTTTAGATTTAAGGTTCAAAATATTTTTATGACAAGAATTCCGATACATCCACATTTTGCATATTTTGAACGTAAATCTTTACAAAATTCACACCGTATGATGCTGAAAAAATTTGATTAGAATTTAATTCAAAGTATTATATCATATATAATTAAATTGTAATTGTATATAATTTCTATAGATGTGGTAGGTACCTATTTCACATAAAAATGCCCCTGTGAGAAATGAGGTTTCTAAGTTTCTATTGAACTATAAAAGTTCTGTATCAAATGTTTAAAGCACTGAATGGATTTAAATTGTGATTAAATAAAACTGAAATATTAATTATTGAAAGAAATTCAACAATTGCACAAAATAAGGAATGAGGTAACAGCATAAAAATATGATTGCAGGTACATGTTGGCTATGAGTATAC